GGGCAAAACAGTCAAGCCGAGTTTTTCCCAAGATGCATGGCTATCTCTCTCTCTCTCTCTCTCTCTCTCTCACACACACACACACACACACACACACACAGCCTGACACGCACTCGTCACACCTCCTTTCAGACTCAGACGGGAGGGTGCTCACAGAGTCTCGAGGCTCCTCGGCATTCTAGGATGGGGCATGCGCTCTCTGTTCCACATCCCAGCACTCCGCCCCACTCCCTCTCCATGGGAGGACCCGGGCACCAGGTCCTTGGCCTATGAGCGCCCTTCCCCACCCTGCACGTGTGTGTGTCACCAAGGTCCAACCAGGGGGCAGAAACAGGGAGGTCTGCCCAGAATCTGGGGAGGGGAGGGGAGAGGAGAGGACGGCTCAGGTATCCCAGGCCCCTGCCTAAGTTGTCAGGAAGGGGGGTGGGGGTGTGCCGGGGGTCCTCCTGGTTACCTGTGCTACACACGAATCATGAAGGGAAGGAGGGGTTGTTCGCTCCAGGTCTACACGGAGCCCCCAACTGGGGACTTGGGGAGTGTCCTCTCAGGGGCCAGCTGTGAAGAGAGAGAGAGGGACAGGGTGAGTGTGCTGGGGGGTGGCAGGGGGTGGGGTTTGACATAAGCTCCCCCTCTCCCCTAAGCCCACAACTCATGCGAGCCTGGAAGACCAAGTAGAGAACTGCTTCAGGTCTCTGAGACTCGCTCTCTGCGGAAGTTGGCAGCCTCTTCCTCCGCCAGCAGCGGGTGGGCTGGGATTTCTGACCCATGGCCAGCAGCCCGGTGCTCAGTAAGCCCTTAGCACCACCACCAGCTCTCTCAGGGTTGGTGCAGAAAGGGAAGGCAGACGTTTAGGCCACAAACAACAACTCTGCCACTGCACGCTCACTGTGAGCGCCAGGCGGCCTGGAGGTGCCACTGCATCGCTGGATTGGATGGAGGCTACTAGATACGAGACTAAACTATTTGGAACCACATTAGAGGGGCTCTGCGGGCGTCGCGATCAAGCAGCGCTCAGGTGCTGGCAGAAAGGTTGGTGGTTTGAGCCTCACGCCGGGCGGCTCTGCAGGAGAGAGACGTGGCCATCAGCTCCTGCAGAGGTGGCGAGCCTAGGTGGCATCGCCAAGGGTCAGAATGGGCTCTTCTTGCACAGGCTCTTCAATCTCATTAAAATAGGGCTGAGGAAGGCCTATTTTAATGAGATTTTATTTTAGGGTGACGCCCCTGGCTGGGAGGAGATGCAGCAAACGGCGGAGGGCTCCACCTGCGGTGGGGCTGGCGGCTAGGGATGTGGGTGCAGCTACCCCGGGATCAATGCAGCAGATCATGCAGTACCCACATACCAGTACCCGGCGTGGAAGACTGTGACCCATGCTACACCATGCTTCAAGGCAAAATGTCATTGATTTGTCATTCGAAATAAATATTTCACAATCTAGAATGACATATTGTTTCTGTGATGAATCATTACGCTTTCATGATGTTCCATTTGTAACAATGAAAATGCATCCTGCCTATCAGATATTGACACGATGATTCACCACAGTAGGAAAACGACAGTGATGAAGTAGCAACGAAAATAACTTTATGTTTGGGGGGTCGCCACAGCACGAGGAAGTGGGTGAATGGGTTGCGGCGCTATGCAGGTGGAGAACCGCTGCCTAGCCAGCCTCCCAGCAACACACAGGCCTCCAGGGACAGACGGTGGTGACTAAGTTTGAGGGGCCTCCTGGGGATGAAGTACCGTGCACACGGCTGACCAGGAAGACCCGCGCCGGGGTGGGCACAGTGCCTGCAACAGTGGGCTCAAACCTCACAGTAACGGCGGGGCCGGCATGGGGCAGGGCACTGGTTCTGTCGTGTATGGGGGTCTCCAACAGCACCAACCGCCGCTACCACCCCATGTCAAGGTGCTTCGTCATGGTCAAAGCCTGATGGGTCACGGCCTTTCACGACCTTGTGAACAGGGAGCCTGAGGCTGGAAGCAGCCCAAGATCCCCACAGGTGTAGTAGAGAGGCCAGGCTGGGATGGGAGCCCAGACAAGCTAACTCTGGTTCCCGCCCTTAACCACTACCCTCCTCAAAGGCCTATCCTCAAACCACTATCCTCTCCTCAGCTTGGTTTTTCCTTCAAGATCTGAAGCAACGAGAAAGGGGAGGAACCTCTCTGTTATCACGTTCTGGAGGCTTGAAATAGTTCAGATCTGGAAAGGTGGATCGATTTCCCTAAAAAACGAAACCAAAACAAAACAGGTCATCCCCTCACTACACCACGGCGTAGTGTAGCACCAAACACACACATTCCTCTGGCTCTTTGAGATTCCTCACCACCACCACCACTATCATGACCCCAGTCCTGCCTTTCAGTCTCCTTAGACCGGAGCCTGTACACTGGTACAGATAAGAGCTCACCACACACGGAATCCAGGTCAGATAAACTCTTCAGGAACAGAAATGGGAGAAGTGATACCAGGAGGATAGGGGGAAAGTGGGGAATAAAGGGGAAACCGGTCACAATGATCTGCCCATAACCCGCCCCCCAAGGGGACAGACAGAAATGTGGGTGAAGGGAGACAGCGTTCGGTGCAAGATAGGAAAATAGTAATAATTTATAATTTATCAAGGGGGTCACGAGGGAGGAGGGGGGAAGGGGGGAGAAGAGGAGCTGATACCAAAGGCTCAAACAAAAGTAAATGTTTAGAAAATGACGATGGCAACATATGTACAAATATGCTGATATAATTAATGTATGGACTGTTATAAGATCCCCAAATAAAATGATCTTTAAAAGAAATAAGTCATGGTCACCGAGTCGATTCTGACTCATAGCGCACCTACAGGACTGAGTAGAACTGCCCCTGTGGGTTCTCATGGCTCTAAAGCTGTAGGGGAACAGCTGGCCTCATCTTCCTCCTGAGGAGCAGCTCATGGTTTCAAACTGCAGGCCCTGTAGTCAGCAGCCCAACTCACAACCCGCTCTGCCACAAGGGCTCCTCCTGTCGGCTTCCTGGGAAAGATCTAGAAAGCGCCAGGTGTGAAACAGCTGGGAAGATGGAGGCGGGGTGGGGTTCCGCCCTGCCTGGAGCGTAGGCCTGGGCAGGTTCACAGGCAGCCAGCCCTCCGCAGTGGCTTCTCAAGAGCAGCCGGCTGCCCCTTCCTCCTCCTCCTCTTCCTGGGGGTTCCCCCAGCAGACCTGGAGGCGAGTGTGTGGATGCTCAGAAGGGGGCTTCTCTGTGTGGGGCTGAAGTCGGAGTTCGCGTGGGAAGACCCAGAATTCTCGGTGCCAGTTCCTTTGGGTTTTGAGAGGCAGACACATCACCACCGTCGCCAATGCCAGTTTCGACACAGAAAATTCCGTGACTTAGAGATCACGTTCTTCAGGTTGGACAAACTTTCTGGCGACCCCTTGCCCCGTCATCCCACCACCATTGGACATTCCTTTGCGCTCTCCCTCCGGCCCCTGGCCCCCGAGAATGTGTCTGGTTTCTACTGCATCTCCTCTTGGCATGTCTTTGCTACTTCCTGGGCGCAAGAACACAGAAACACAGAATGCACCCTGACGTGACCGGCTTATCTCACTCAGCCCGGCTTCTTCACCATGTCCCCACGTTGGGGCACACATCTAAAACCAGTCTCTCTAAGGCTGAGGAATAGTACCGAGCCAGAGGCCCTGGAGGCGAAGTTGCACTGCCAACGGCAAGGTTAGCAGTTCGAAACCAGCAGCTGTTCCTCAGGAAAAGGGTGGGTAAAGCTCTCTACTTTCATAAAAGGAGCTCTAGTCTTGGAAATCTCCAGGGGCCGGTCTACCCTGTCCTCTGGGGCTGCTACGAGCCAGAATCGACTTGGTAGCAGTTTTGTTTTTGCGTCCCCCACCCCCACCCCAATAGGGCTGAGGGGTGCTGGAAGAACAAACACATTTGTCTTGGGAGAAGTGACAGCAGGATTTTCTGCTCCTTAGGAGTGAGGATGGTGACACTTCGACTCGCCTGCTCGCTGGACATGTTATCAGGAGAGACTGGTCCCGGAAAAGGACGGGGGAGGAGGAGAAGGGGGGAAGACGCGCCGGGTGATGGGTTGACAAGGTGGCTGCGACAACGGATTCCGCCGTCGCAATCGCGAGGACGCTGCAGGGCCCCACAGTGGTGTGGTCTGCCGTGCCGATGGGGTGGCTCTGGGTTCGAACCTCTGCACCGGCGCCTAACAACACCAGCCCGTGGTCGGCACCGTGGTGAGGGCTGCGCGCACACTGGTCCTCGCTCCGCTCTGCCCGCAGGGGGCGCTGTGGGCTGGGCGACTGCTCGGCGCCGGGACGTCTCGCCGAACGGACGGACGTCACCTCACGTCGGGGCCGCCCTCGGTGCACGGCATTTCCACGGTGCACGCATCCGCCGGTGGTGGCGAGGGCGGCGGCGGTCAGGCATGTGTGTTTGTGCGCTTTCTTCGGCGCACAAGGTCAGCTCGAAGCCGCCGGCCGCTTTGCGGGAGAAAGGTGCGGCGGAGGCGGCTCCCGACGCCCCGCCCCAGGGCCGCCGTGCGTCAGCATCCACTCCGCGGCCGGAGCTCAGGGTTTTGCGACGGGAGCGAAGCAGCCCCGTGGGGCCGCTGTGGCCTCCGCAACGCTAGGGGGCGGTGCCGCTCCATCCTAGGGTCGGCACGCGTCGGTATCCACTCGATGGCGCCGGGCTCTCCCTGCAAGGGGCGCTGGTGGCACCAAGGGCTGAGCATCGGGCTGGTAGCCAAGAGGCGGGTGTTTTGAGCCCACGGTCATCTGAGTCTCTGTGCTTCTGAACAGATGTGCGGGCTTGCAGACCCTGTGAGGCAGCCTTCCCCTGTCCAGTGGGGTCCCCTATGCATTGAACTGACTGGAGGGCATGGGAGCTTGGGGGTCTTAGGAGTGGGGGGTCAGTATGTAACAAGTACGTGTGACTGTTGAACACTTGACGCTGGGTCACTGGACCATTCAGTTACTTTGCGTGTTGTTTTTCTCTGATATATGTCTCTGTGTACAAACACACACACACACACACACACACACGAAATGGCCAGCAGGTCTGGGCCCCTCTGGGATGGTGCCCAACTGGGTGGCAGGTCGGCATCGATGTCTCCCAGGAGAAGTAGTGGATCAAGCTGTGCCTCCCAAATGTGCCAACCTGGAAACCTGGAGAGGCCCTGATTCCCAGTCCTGTGGGGCTGCCCTCCATGCAGTGTTCTGATGTAAGTACCCTCTAATTGAAATGCTGGCAACGAGGGCCCTGCTAACCCAGAAGCTCCCCGGGAGAAAGATGAGGCTTTCTGTCCCTGTAAAGTGTTATGGACTTAAAATACACAGCTAGATTTTTAAAAATGAAGAAGGGGTGGGGAGCGGGGGAGAAGAGTTATAAACTTGGAAACACCACAGGGCAGTTCTTCCCTGTTCTATAGGGTCGCTATGCGCCAGCATCCACTTGATGGCAGTGAGTGTGCTCGGAGATTTGCGATGTTAACGAAACAGGCCTGGGGTGGGGATCCATCTTGAGTCACAGCCTTCTCAGAGGGCGTGGCTCGCCTCAC